AACTGCTTAGTGATCGTAGCATGATTTCATCACTTTCAATATTATTGTTCGAAGACTTACAATTTTGAGTTAGTTTATACAAAATGTAGTAAAGAATCTACTGCGCTGCATATTTTCCCTTTCAGATTGAACCCCCACGCGAGGATGCGTGAGGCTATCAGAATAGCCGTTTCGCAGAGCATCTCCATCACCTTTACGAAGATCGTTTGGTTTAGTTTTCTTTTTTTTTTATTTTTATTTACTCGATTACTTAATTATTCGATTGTAAAGAGGGCGTGATTATCGATACTTTTAATTCTATTAGAATGGTAACACTGAAGTTGCCGCCATTTTGGCGCGCATGAGTCTCTTTTGCATTTGGGCTGGGAGAAAACTATGGAAAAGCTCTATAGTCATTATTGGTTTGAAAACATGACAAAATATGTTCGTAAATTCGTTGACAACTGTATCACTTGCAAAATTTCTAAAACTCACATAGGTTAAGTGCAGGCTGAGCTTTACCCTATACCTAAGCTTGCTATTCCGTGGCACACTTTGCAACTAGATGCTACTGGAAAACTATGCGGCAAAAATGATAAAAAGGAGTACGCTTTTGTTTTGATCGATGCTTTTACCAAATTTTCCTTGCTTGTCCATACTCCATACCAACATTGACTCTAAGAACAGCATTCGAGCTTCGAAATTAGCTATCTCCCTATTTGCCGCGCCAATGCGTATTATCGCGGACCAAGGACGCTGCTTGACTAGCCGCGAATTTCGCGAGTTCTGTGACGACTGTTTGTGAGGTATCGTCACTTGGAGGTGGCATGAGTTACATCACTCGTATTAGGTGATGTGACGACTGTTTATGAGGTATCGTCACTTGGAGGTGGCATGAGTTACATCACTCGTATTAGGTGATGTGACGACTGTTTCTAGGACATCGTCACTTGAAGGTGACATGAGTTACATCGCTCGAATTAGGTGATGCGACGACTGTGATTAATAGAATTGATGATGTGCAGAGTAGAGAGAATTATTAATTTGACTGACTGACTGAAGTGACTTCGTTTTGTTACAAAATGAGGAGCGTAATCAGACCAAACAGACCGTTTAAGGTCATGGAGTTGTTAGATGGTGATCGTTATTTGTTAAAGGCGTTAAATTCTAAGAGGACGTACAAGTATGCTCATGATAGACTAAGAAGGATGCCTGAAGGTCAGTTGGTTGTAGAAGAATCGTGGATCAAAGTGATGATCTTGTGTTCGAAGTTCATGGCACATCGCGTGATTAAGTTGGGTAAAACTCGATGGAGGTGTTACTTGAGCGATCAATGGAGTTCCTCATGGGAATAATGCTTGATGGAGGCATTGGTTGTTTATGTGCTCGATGGAGACACTGGTAGCATAACGCTCGAAGCAGGAGTTTTGCTTGTGTTGTTAGAGGCACGAAGAGAACATAATGCTCGATGGAGGCGTTATGTGACTTGATGTGTGCGTTCTATCACTGTATAGAATCGCGATATGTGTTCAGTTGTGTACTGATGAGTGTAAGACTTGATTTAAAGTTTGAACTTCAGATATCCTTCGAAGTTGATTTACTAAGGCATTACAGTATTTGATCATTGTACATAGTTGTAATCAGTAAACATAGTTTGTGATCGGTGTGCTTATGTGACGGTATTTTTACTGGTCAGAGATGACCGAGTGATGGCAAAAGCTACTGGTAGTGTTTTCATTTTTAGACTCACACGAGGACGTGTGATGCAGCAGGATGGCCGTGTCGGCGAGAAGGCGCTTCGATTGTGCGAAACGCCATCTGTCACCTGCAGCTGTCATCTGTCAAGATCTATGGTGCTTTGCGAAACGTCAAGTTATGACATTGACGGCTGTCATCGCTTGGGAGTGGTCTATGCTTGTTCGAAGATGGCACTTTTTACGTTGTGCGGCCATATTGAGCGGACGCAAGCGCAGAACTCTCCGCGTTTCGTATTGCAATTCGTTTGCATCGAGTTATTATTAATGTACTCCGATTAGATAATTAAGTAATTCAACTAAATAACTGATTTGTGATCTATATGCGATCTTATTTCGAAGGAATATCTCGACCACTAGTCAGATTGCGGATGTTGACTAACCTAACTTTCCGCCGGCCCCTCATGACTTTCCGATTACACGGGACCATAATTCTTAATATTATGCACACATAATTAACCTTTTATTTATATAATAATCAAGAAACGGATAATCTATAGTAGTGAGTGAATTAGACATAAAACAATAATATAATCATAATAAATAGCAACAAATCAAAATCCGATCAAATCCAAAGAATGCATTAATTAAAATTAATATTAATAAACAAAATAAAATCCAAATTAAAAAAAATAGCTAGGGAAATTAATTCATATTACATTATAACCCGTCTCACCGAGAAAGTTAAAAAAAAAAAAATTATAAACAGCTAATATTTTCCAGTACTACTCTTTTAAACTTTTGCAAATTTAGATTTAAAAAATCGGCCCAATTGGGAACAATTGTGTTCCCATATAGTAACACGAGTATGCTCCAGTTATACCATAGTAACACCAAGCACAATGGTGTCTGGTGGTGATATAATTTTATGGTGTCACGTTGGAAGCGTATGTAGGTCGCAACGTGTGGTCCAAATTCAAGGAATGTTGAAGCGATCGTGTGGTTCATGAGAAACAAGATACTCAATACTCAAGATGGGAGAACTCAGACTTGATTCCGATAACTAACTGTATTCAGTGTTAAACTAACTTAGCATCTATTTGTCTCAGAATATTTTATTCATGATTTAATCGACAACAAAAGGAATGTTTTAACAGACTTAAAAAAAAAGAGGTTCTCAGTTAGATCTGTATGTATGTTTAGAGCCATTATCTCGCGTTTGGCTGAACCGACTTTGATGCGTTTCAGCAGTTTTCAGCATAGTATTTGTCAGACTTGGGAGAAGGTCCGACAAAAAAATGGAGGTTCGCACTTTAACACGTGTTGTATGTATTGTCTGCGATTATCTGAACAGATTTTGACGCGGTTTTCAGAAAAGTATTATTAGGGCTACCAATTAAATCATATCAATATACAAAAAATATCAATATCACTAAAAAGCAAGATATAAAACCTTAAAAAAATATAGAACGGACTTCAAACTTAAAAAAAGTGAAAGAAATAATTATCTTATAAGCTACTTATTCAAGAAAATGCTATTGAAGTCAGTCGCCTCTCGTTTAATTATTAACGTGCAGAAAACCTCCGCTCGACTTTAAAACCTTTTTTTTTGAATAAGTCGCTATTGGATTAAAGTATTATTTTTCACTTTTAAAGTCTATATTGTATGTGAAGAGGATTAGTCGTTTTACTGTGTATTTTTATATTCTTTTTCATCGACGACTATTTAATAAACTAACTAATACATATTTACATAGATCACTACATCTGTTATGTACTCCGCCAACTTCATTAGAATCTCACGAACATAAAATATAAATCTTTCTGCGATTAACATATGGCCAGGTGTAAACAAACATACTAACGTTTTGCGCCTGCGCATATTATAACAATATACGTAATGCTTTTCCAGGAAAATAAATCTATTTTAATTTGACATTTCGGTTCAAAATCACTCTTGGCACAACTTCTCAGTGCAATTCTTTTTAAAAGATAAAAAATATCGCAGAGTAATCGCAAATCTCTTGTACATACAGCAGCATATCAGATTACTACAAAACAACATTTCGCGGTCAATTTCGAACGTAAACATATTAAAATAGAATGAAGAAATTTGGTTTTCTGCAGTGGCCAATGTTTACATAATAATGCATCTCACTAGAATCCCAACAACTTGCGTCTTACCATTGTACTATCTACCTGAAGTTCAATATTATTATAGTATATCTGACAGCATCGATGTGTGAGGAAAACATAGCGTTCATAATATTGTTACCTAAAGTAGATAATACGATCACGAAATGCAAGTCAATAAGATTCTATTGAGATGGGATTATTACGTAAATATTTGCTGAATAGCCTAATTGACGTGATGTCGACCACACTTACGTGTTTACATTTCAAGCCATTTAACTCTTAGAGATCTCTTGGAGGAGTCAACGACTTCCAAGGTTCAAGGTTAGCTGATTATAGAGGCACCGCATTATTCATACAGAACAAAATAGACTTATGTTATTATTCTTGTTTGGTATTAATCGTGAATTTTTGGTAGGAAAACGTATCAATGTGTCCTGTTCACATTTCGGTGCGGTTGCCAAAGATCGTTAAAGATAATTTGTTAATTTCTTGTTAATAGCCTAAAAATGTTTCGTGGAAAACACATTTACCTTTTTTTTTACTTCAAAGAATGATTAAACAAATCGTAGTCGAATTATGGCCTACGCACATTAGATAAACTCGACTTTTATTCTCGACTCACAGAAATAACCTCCAAATTCGGTTCATATTCAATAGAATTGCGAACTTTTGATCTCCAGGTTTAAAGATCTTCACTTAATTGTATGTGGTCAACCTTGCAATAAGTTTTTTCAGCCAAGAATCATAAAATCGGTACATGATTGATGAAGGCATCCCATTCTCTTGCTTCCACGGGGGGAGTTTGTTATATATACGAATATTTTTAAAAGTATTATAAAAGATGTGATTTTCCTTTTATACCTTTAAATATTCATTAATGTTAAAAGAATATTGTAATTTAATAATTGAAATGGTAATAATTGAAACTCTAAATCGATGTGGTCGATCTTTGAGTCTAGAGAATGTGCGAAGACCTTATTTTGTTTTCAGTTCTATTTTTAGAAGTTTGAGGCTAAGCTAGGTCAAACTTTGTTAGTCAATCGCTCTACTATAGCGCGTAATACCGCAAAAACCGCAACTGTAGGGAGTTTTACTGGGACTGTAATACATAGTGAATTTTCGAGACTGGTAAGCAAGGTCCTTTGCCATTATTTTACATGAAGACGTTCCATGGAACCAACCATATATTTTTTAAACATGCTGAACGGCATTCATAGAATTAAGAAATATAACAGTCCCTAGAAACATAAAAAAATATGCTTATCGTCCTATTTCATTTGCGTAAAGACTATCTATTCTATTAAAAGAATGAGTATTAATTATGACAGAAATTGCAAAAACATTTTCCATACATTTTGGACTGAAAAACGGAAAATCAACTCGAAATATTCCTTACCCCAAACAAACAATTTTTTATACTATGATGAACATAACTTACAATAACAAACAACATTACAAATTTGTGCACTGATCACAATTTTTCCCTGTGTATCTAGGATTTAAACGGTCAGTTGCACAAACGTCCATTAAGGTTTAATGACGCCTTTCACTTCTAATGAATGTCATATTTATATAGGTAATGTCGCTTTAAACTAATGAAGATTTTAATGGACGTTTATGCAACTGGCTGAAAGCATAATAAATGTGTCATCATAATGGACTGTTTGACCTCTCTTTAGAAGTTTGGGAGACGGCTGAAAATGTGCCATTTCTGGATGATTTACGTGCATAGAGCCTTGACCCTTTTCTTACTATTATACACAGGTACAGTCAACAACAAGTCAGGTTATACAGAACTTCCAATGTCTACACTCGATTCAAAATCTTATTGCATTGAATACAGAGCTAAATTCAACTGCGGCATTTTGATATATTGTGATAGTTTGTACTACATCATTTTTTGTGTTTCTTTCTTATTGTGTAGTTTTGATGTAAAAATTATTCACAGACCTTCTGAATATACATATAAAAGAAAGGCTATAATTTATACGGGCGAAGACGGGGAAAGTCATTTTTGACTGTTTGCATCGAAAAGGCTCCATAACTACTGCACCGATTTTTAAAATTCTTTAACCTGTGGGAAGCTAGGACATCATACGCGGTTGACACAGGCTATAATTTACGCGGACAAAGTCGCGGGATAACAGCTAGTTGTTAAATAAACACTTTGTCTACCTGTGGAGGGTGGGCGGTAGGGGCGTACATCGGGCACGGTTATGGGCGAGGCAGGCGCTCGGGTCGAGTAGTCGTCATCGTCTATGAACACCTGCTCGCTCAACTCCAATGCCAGCTCCGTGTCGCTACAAATTAACAAACTGTGTTAAAGAAATGTTATCGCAAATATAAAGACGATATCCGTAGTGAAAGCTCCCGTACGAGGGTATCAAAGCAATGCGGCGTTTTCTGAAGTGCCGAGTTTTTCCATATTTCCATAATACTCAGGAATTCGATAGTGTATTCCGAGTCTGCGATGTCGAAGTTAAGCAACTTTCGTGTATAAGCTGGTTATAGGATGGGTGGCCAAATATTAAATATCGCGAGCTTCTCCGTGCTATGGAAGGCGCGTGAAGCCCTTGGTCCCGGCCGCATCTGCAGTCGTTCCATAGGCAAGGCCCCAGCAATGGGGACCAATATTAATTGGTTATGATGATAATAAAGGGATCCGAGCAATGTACGTCATGTTGTAGAAAATAAATAAACAAATTTATAGTTTTGATACAGTCCATTATTCCTTGAATAAAGTTATATCATCAAATTACAGATTATTCAAGTTTAGTTACTAAAAATTAGAGGCAAAAAAATGCATTAAACAGATATTAAAAGTATAAAACCACATGCATCTAAGCAGTCACACATAACGGCTATAAACATTTACACAGACATTTATTTTATAAAAGACAACAACAGGTTTTTTACATAACACATGATGATTTAGTAAAATGTATTTTATGTGTCTTAATTTTGGGACTAAAATATTTTGCTAACTTAAAAAAAAGTGACTAAAATTAATTATGTTAACACTTTATCCTAGTCTTTAAGTGTTTAAATGTATACCAGACAAAACTGTAGACAAAACTGTATCCATTTGTTTTTGTATGTAATCAGGATTCCTTAATCTAATATCTTATCATGTCTGGTTGCTCACATTACATACACATGTTATTTGCAGTCATCATAATCTTTTATTTAATTATGTAACCTTACTGTACAGTAAATAATCATAAACATTCAAGGTTTCAAAGTTATTACAGGTGTAAAGCAACAATGGGCAAAGAAGTCAAACTAGATTTTTTCTAGTTATGTTTACTATTTCATATGTCCCTTAAAGTTTATTCATACATCATTTGATGTTTACTGACTAATTAAAAGCAAAATATATATTTAAAACTAGATAACCTGGTCAATTTCATATCATCTCTCACTGTTAAATCTTTCCTGGACTATGAGAAACATTTAAATACAGACTAACCTCATCAGCGCCCAGGGCAGCAATAGGCCTGGATCGAAAACCTTACTAAACCCCCAATGCATTCCTTTGTAACTTAATTATGATATTATGATTTTGGCAGATGGTGGCAGCCCATTTGGAGGCCAGATGGCACCCTCCGCCCAACCCTAGTCCACCAGTGCTGTCATTATATGTAATCTAATTTGACATTATGAACTTTTGCATTTTGTGCAAACATTTTATTTATTTTTAATTGATAGGACTTTTGACTTATTAACAATTACTGCATTGAAAATGTATTTTAAGTATAAAGGTAAAATTACTGATACAAGGTGTCAGATTTTCTGTTATAAGTGTAGACAAAACAAACTTATAACTCATGTCACAGCAATTTAATTCGATGACAACAGTGCCAAGACAATGTCATAAAAAATATAAATTACACCTGACTCATCAAATTTCAGTGTTTAACTGCTGTAAATTGTAGAGATTAATTTAGTGACTCCTTGTGTTACTTTAAATAATTTCGTATGATATTATTTAAATTGACCACATACAACTTGTATTGTGACTGAAATATAAGTTTTCCTTATAACAAAACCCATTGTTAATTGATAGATAAAAAAAATTTACTTATATTTTTTTAGAATACTTCAAGTAGGTGGTTTTACAAATTGTGTCAAATTCTTTTATCAGACTACTTGCAAAACTCTATGATAATAATACCAGTTAAGTTTAAGAAAAAAAAGTTGTTTAAAACATTGACAAAACCATTTGCCAAAATATATATTACTAAATTAATATCAACTTGTTTTGAACTTATCATGATTATAACTCTGTGAAGATATTTTTTACCACATGGCAATGTTGTCTTCAAGTTGATTTGTAAAACATGCAAGCCATACCATAACATAATACATAAAAACAGAGCCATTGATGGCCACCTGTTTAGTGGTTAGTCACATAAATTAAAAACATGCTATTGTATTTGTGTATTAAATGTTATGAAACATTATACAAATGGTATACAATCATATAAATTGCATCTACTATAATGATGTGATAAAATCTATCAAACAAGTTGAACGGCATCTAATCAAATATCTGATAGAAATGTAAACAAGACATTGATTTCAAGGGCAGTCTATGTTTACAATGTGAATGTCAATTCTTAGCACTGTTAGATGATAATATTTTATGACAAAGTTGAATAAAGCATTTTAAGTGGATGAATTGATATTAATGGGTGATCAGAGTTCTATGAAGGCTAGTAAAGTATCCCAGCTAGTCACAAGACAATTAGCAATAATGTTCTATTAAAGGTAATCTTACGGGTTTGGGAAGATTAGTGGTCGCGCGTCCATGTCTTCAATATTTCTTAACGCATAAAAGTATTTCAAAACAGAACCACATTCGAACACGTGTTTTACTCACTCACGCCGCACAGCAGCCATTCAACACGATACAACTTGCCAATGTACTAAATAAATGTCTAAAAATAAATCACAATGCGTTCGCAAAGAGGTTATTTTACAGGTAGCGTTAGATAGGGTTATCTATCTCAGTAATATTTCACCGCACACGAGAACAGCTCAAAGATCCGATGATGACTAAGGAAGAGCGCTGAAAATGTTACTCGAGTAGCGCACTAAATTGACACGACACAGCTGGTCAAACAAACATTTCATTAGGTTATTACACTCGTATTACCTATCAGAGCTGGCGGAGCTGGGAGTTTCAAATTTATTTAACTTTCCAGCCATCACTAGTCATAAAAAACGGTTTGTAATTCAAAATAAAAATTACAAATATATTTTTAAAATTGCGATGTGATCTTCCACGCACAACACACGCCAAATAATGATTTGACATTTGGTGCAAAACGTTCTAAAACCAGGTAACAGTTGAATAAATTATTCTTTCATTGTAATAAAAACCTTATCTTTTGTAACCATGAAACTTGGAAAATAAATTATACAAATAGTAATACCCAGGTTTTTTTTAAGCAAATTATTTAAAATAAATGATTCATAGCATTAAAGTTGATTTTTTTGAAGTTACTAAAACCATTATTCAGGTTTATGAACGTTTGTTGTACATTTGTCGCAGATGATCCTTTACAAGCAGAAGTTTGAACGGCATATGACTCGACACTGGACGTCGTACAGATGTAACAGAACTTATAACTCTAATAAATTTTCATTACGAAAATGATTTTAATACTATCAATTACAGTGTGTTTTCTCAGAAGCTAATTCGAGCCGAGAGAAATAGTCTTAACGGAGGCCGTGTGTCTCATTCTGTCATCGTAATAAATATATAATCGTTAATACATATATATATGTCGCATCATCATTACGAAGATCGTTTTATTTAGTTTCTTTTATTTTAATTGCAAGTTACTCAATTACTTAATTACTCGATTGTAAAGAGAGCGTGATCATCGATACCCTTAATTTTATTAGAATGGTGACACTGACTTTGACAGTTCGTTAATAAAAAGCAAGTTGCCGCCATTTTGGCTCACATTCTGTTTCCGATCACCGAGGAGTAAAGACAGCCGATGACATCACGCTCATCTCGTTATATTTTCGTATGAAAAGTGATAAAATGAAACAAATCCACGTTGGTATACACGCCTGCAGTGTTATTTTAAAGATAGTACTCCGATATGGACCATCTATTTGGGCTTCGTTATTACGAAAGCAAACGAAACGATCTTCGTAATGAGAAGGGGCTATTGCCTTCTGACTACCCGCCATTATATATAATATATATATATGTATTGAGATTTTGTGTATTATTTTTAAGGTATTAGAGCTCCTCATTCTAAGGATCATTACTCATGGCTTGCAGCCGAATCGATTGTTAATTTAAATTGGATCGTACCAATGGAGCGCCATTCGACCGATTTATTGTATTTGTAATATTAAATTCCTTTTTCTAAAACCCATATATTTTTATTTAAAAAGTAAAGGGTGTGTTTACGTTTTCGCGTGCATATTAAGCGTGCGAAGATCAAGCGACATTCGCAAAGTAATTGTCAGCATAGTTTCAGTACCTTCAAATGAGTTTGACCACATGGCCTGGCATGGTCAGGATGGAGATCTTAATATACGTTTTGCTTATTTGTAAACTTGAGGAAATATGGTTGTTAAATTGAATGTACCTATGTATATTTTCTATGCTATCCAATTAAAACTATTATAATACTTTTGATTAAAGAATGAGTGATATGACCTTTTTTTTTAGTTAAATCTGACCCGGGCACACATCTTCCATTTGCTTTTATTTGAAATTTTTCTTCAAAGGGTGCATTCGTATTTAATTTATCATCAGCTCAGATCAGAAATAGCAGCTTACAGTAATAATTTTCCTCAATTCACGGTAAATATATCATTGTGTTTTAAGATTGATTAATGAATTAAAACTTAATCATTAGCGATCAGAAAAGTAATCAAAATAAAATGGCGACTGTAATGTTTAAACGATACACCGGCCACATTAAAAAGACCTTCTACGCAAACGAGTATCTAAAACAAATAGGTAAAATAGAAATATATTTATTGTAACAAAAAGTTTAACAAGATTATTGTTTACAATAATAGCCACAATAGTTAAAAAACTGAACATATGAAGGTCTCAGTTAAAATGTTATTGTCACCCTATAAGAAAGGGACAAATAATCTTTGTACTTAATATGTCGCTCGGCTCGCATTTCAGTTGGGGGGAATCTGCACTCTGTCCTGTTTTATAGTACTAAGTCCACGATCACGTTACCTTCATATTAGGCTTTATAAATATATATTTAGGGTGCTTGTGCTCTACACTGAATTTTCAGGACCGGCGGTCCGAATTTTTTCGGTTCGATATGTCAGGCCATATGTAGGTAATGCTAGCCTGTGCACTATCAGGAATTTTACGGTCCAAAATTTTACTTTTCTCTATTCCGGGCCGGTTTTTCTGATCCATGATGGCGGCAATGAACAACGTGTTTACGCTTGTGCACTGCTGTGTCCGCGATCCGGAAAATTCATAAGGCTTGGGAAAAAATAATCGATATGTGTGAAAATCGATATTTATTTCGGCCAAATTGTTAATTTCCAATAAACTTATAATTGATATTTATTGTAGATTATAAAATGCTATATTTTATATGATGATTTAATATAGTTAGTAAATATCACTGCATATGCTTTGGTAAACTCAGTATAGTTCTAATTTTATCAGCGTATGGTTCTAATATCGATACTTAGCTAGATTTTAGAATCGTATTAAAAGGATCGATAACTTAAAGTAAGATACATAATAATAATAGGCCTAAACAACTGAACCCATCTCAATGGAAATTAATATAGTAAATAGACTTAACTTTAAGAAAGGAAATAGGCTACATTTTATCGCGAAAAATAGGGGATGATAGTTTGCCTGAAAATATGTCATTATCAAAATTTTTTTAGACAATTCATAAGTATAGATAAATATTTGATGATAAACAGAAGTAATACTAAAGAATAAACAGAAGATTAACAGAAGTTATTAAGTGGCATTCAGTGTCTTTTTCGCATTTAAGTCTATATTGTAATAAAATTTGAAATGACTGTTTGTGTCATAAATAAATATAAAAAAAGAAGTATTCTAAGGGAAAAATATTTCTGCTCAAAGAAACTACACCACGCGTATAAAATTATGCCTATATATAATATAGTCAACTAGCATATTAATTATCCGCTTACACGGCATTAATTTCGTTAATGACGTTTACGCAACATGGTGCCACCGATTGTTCTATCTGTGTAATCGCTTCAAGTTGTTTTTACAAAACTTCGAAAAAAAATAGCACGTTTATAAATTTAAACAACAAGTACTAGACCATTATCAGTAATTTTATTCTAATGTCACAGATATTTTTAGCTATTGTATGTGAATAATGCTGTTCCTAAATTAGTAAAGTAAAAGTTTTTACATCTGATAGTAGTCATCCGATAGTAGTAAAAAAAATGCTTTCGTCTTGCCTCAATTTATTATGGTTTATGTAAAATGATCAGGTCATTATTTAGGTACCTTTCTACGTCTTTGAAATCAATTACCGATGTTCCAAAAATCTCATTGTACCTAGCGTAAGTGACGTGTATCTTCAAAGAGAGCTGCACTATACTGCGTCGCTCCGATCACGAAAAAAACGGACAAGTGCACAAGCTATTCTGGGTTTTTTATGTCATTCCGGACCTAAAAAAATCGGACCGCTGGACCGTAGTGCACAAGCTCCCTTACTGATAACTACGGGTGAGCTAATGAAAGATGGACTGTATTAAAATAATATGATATATTCGGAAAACACAGTAAAACAAAGATAACACAAATTAATATTCAAATTATACAACAAATCAGATCACGAACGTAAAAGACACAAGCATTTGACAGACAACCAAAGACCATAAAACGTCAATCATATTCAAAATATATACAAAACTTTATAAAAAAGGTGAGATGACCAGCCAGTTGCTAACATTCCCACCCCCAGTGGAACGCTAAGTGTTGGTAGCAACTGGCTACTCACTTTCCACAATGTGGACTAGCTTACGGACTGGCCGGCGTAGGGTACCACCCTTAGTGATGACATCCACTACACGGACCACTCCGTCTGCTCCAGTGAAAGTTTTAACAACTCTCCCAAGTGGCCACACCCCACGTGGGAGACTTGCGTCTGCGACGACCACCACATCACCTTCACATAAATTTTTACTTTTGTCATTGGTACCTCCTCTAGCTCTTAGCGTTGGTAGATACTCCCTCAGCCACCGTGCCCAAAAATGGTCCGCTAGTCGAAGAGTACGTCGCCAGTCACATCGCCGTACCAAGTCAGAGTCCGTTAGAGTCGACGTCCAAGGGGCGACAGATGAGCTTCCGAGGATAAAGTGGAATGGCGTGATTGCTTGTAGCGCTTCCGGTGACGGTGATACGTATGTGAGTGGTCTTGAATTGACTATGGCTTCAGCTTCGCATAACAGGGTTTTGAGAATTTCTTCTTTGGGACTCTGGTCTTTCAGACATGCATTCAATGCAATCTTTACAGAGCGAACCATACGTTCCCAAGCCCCTCCCATGAAAGGTGAAGCTGGTGGGATGAAGCGCCAGTGAATTTCTTTGTTGGTGATGAATTCTTGAATAGGTTCTCCAAATAAGGCTCGTAGTTCTCGATTGGCTCCGACAAAATTCGTGCCATTATCGGAGAATATTATAGATGGGCATCCTCTTCGAGCAATGAATCGTCGCAAGCTGAGCAAAGCTGAGTCAGTTGATAAGGATGGTACAAGTTCTAAATGCACGGCTCTTGAGACTAGGCATGTATATAGTGCTACCCATCTTTTTTCTTTGCGTCGGTGATTAGTCACAATCAATGGTCCGAAATAGTCAAGACCTATGTTAGTAAACGGTCTTTTGTGATGATCAAGGCGTTCCTGGGGCAAATCTCCCAATTGTGGCTTTATCGGAGTACGTTTTCTTCTGCACTCAAAGCAATTGTGAATCACGCTTCGGATAGAACTTCTGGCTCTTAAAATTGTGTATTTTAGTCTTAACTCGTTAAGTACCGTTTCGTGAAACGCATGTGCGGCTTGGATGTGGTAGTGAAGAATAAGAAGGCGAGTAGTATGATGACGGCCGTCCAGTATGATCGGCGAGATTATACTGTCGTTTACCTCGGGTGCAGACTTGATACGGGAGTTCATTCTAATTAATCCTTCTTCGTCGAGAATGGGTGCAAGTGCTGCGATCCGACTCTTCCTGGGTATGGGCTGGGACTCTTTTAAAAACTTTAGTTCTCTAGGAA